AAAATTATCATTTTTGGTGATTCATTTATTGGATTCTCATGTTTATACTAAAATATAGCTAAGATATTTTTACAAATTTATTTAGTATTTTTAAGGATAAAATTGCATAATTGCAATATTAACCATTTTTAGATTTAAATTCGTCTCATGTTTATAAAATGGGATTTCATATTTTTAAATTGATAATTATATATTATAAATCATTTTAGTGCTTTCAATTAATTTTTCAGAAACTTATTTACTATTTTCTATAAATTAAATGGGAAAAAGGGGCTATTTAACTTATAGCCAGATTTGGCTTTCTAATCTAGCCTAATTAAACCAGCTTATATCCCCTAATTAAACCAGCCCAAAGACCCAAGCCCAATCCCTAAATCTACCCGACCCAATCAGATTAAATCTTTGCTGTTGATCAATTTTGATCAACGGTCNTACACTTAATTTAGTACTACGAACCGTCCAGACTTCCTTTTCCTAACCTAAACTTAAACAAACCGACCCCCTCCCCCCCCCAAACCCCTCTCATTCCTCACTCAACCGACTCTCATCTCTATCTCTCTATCTCTGGTTCTCTCTAGAACCTTCCCCTTTCCCCTCCGCTCTGATGAGCTTCACTCGCCTTCTCCGGCCACCTCCTGGCCTGAATCCATGGTGGTCTCACCACCTACCAGCCTTCTATGGTTCCTGTACGCTTGGTTGCTGAAGTTTCATGGCCTGACCGCGAAGAAGCTTCATCCAGACCTTGCTTGATTCAAGTTTTATGGCCATCTCCGGCCTTGCTCCGGCAAGCCATGTCTGTTTCGAGCTTGACCTCGACTCCTCCTGCTTAGATCAACGACTATCCAAGCCTTTCTCACCATTTGGGTTCCTCTGAAACCCTAGTTTTTGAGGTTCTTCTGAGTTCTTTAGATCTGTTCTAGATCCGTGTTTTCCCTAAACTTTTAAACGACTTCTTGATATTTCTTGCAAAACTATGCTTTCAAAACCTTTATTTTTCCGATCTAGGGTTTTTGAGTTATTTAGATGTTTCTCTGATTTTCTTTTTCTCTTGTGTGCTTCTTCTACTATGTTTCTTATTAAGTTTCTTCTACTGTGTTCTTGTTTCTTCTACTATGCTTCTTTATATGTTTCTCCTACTCTGTTCTTATTAGTTACTTCTACTATGTTTCTTTGAGTTCTTCTACTGTGTTTCGCATGTTGTTCTTTTACTATGCTTCTCATGAGTTCCTGCTACTGAAAAAGCATGTTAAAGGTCTCAGTTCTTTTCTGAGACCCCTGAACCTGTTTCGATTAGTATCTTTTTCCTTAATTACTTGTCCTCTCATCTCTGCACTCGATTGATGATAAAAACCCTAGAATTTGGGGGTTCATCCGAGTTTTGAGACCATTAGCTATGTGGTATGCTTGTCCTTCATCTTGGAAATTGTTTGATTTTAGAAACCCTAACTATTTCGAGTTTCTAAATTTGTTTCCTCTGTTGCTCAACTGAATCTTGAAATCTTTGTTTCAATCTCAATTTCTTTAGGCAATTCTGATTCTCTACTAAACTCTTCTAAGGTCCTTATACTAGACCCTTTGTATGCTATTTGATACTATCTCTCTTCTACGCCGCTGACCTATGTGACTACCATTTTTGCAATGGCATGACGTTTATTTGCCCTAAATTCAGCTTAGCATGTTTGTGTGCTCTTTATATGTGCTGAACTCTCCTCTAAAATGGCTTTCTTTGATTGATTTCAGACTTCCTTTGTGAAAATCTGATTGATCTTCTTTCCTTGTTTGCCGATTTTCCTATTGCTTGGTTTGAGTCGAAAACTTTCCTTAGCTTTTCTGACTTGGTTTATTCATGGACCAATAATTACAAACCTCTGACTCCTTGATTTACTGTGTACTAATTGATTTTCTACCTTATTTATGTAACCGTGTATTTCAAATTTCTGCCCTTAAATAAACTCCGATGTATTTACCCCTAATTGCCTGCTTTGCACAAGATGCTTGTTTGATCTCTTTCCTTAAATAATTTTCTTGCTCATTACCGTGTAAGTCTGAATTCCTTAATTAAAGGAAGTCTTGCACTGATTGATTTTAATTGATACCCAGTTCCTTAATTGTTTTCTTACCTTATTTCTTCATGTTTTTCACACTATAAGTACACGACTCTTTCATTAACACAGGAAACCCCATCATTCGTAGTCTTTCTGAACTTATACTTACACTCAAAAAGTATTCTCTCTTATTGTTTGTACTATGGCCTGTTTACAAGTTTTGCTGCCTGCTTTCTCTATTTGCTACTTTGAAACTGGTATGTCCTGATTTAAGCTTTGTAGCACCACAACAATGTGTTTTTCTTACTGCTTTTGTACCCCTGTTTGCTTACTGCTTCTGTATAGTTCAACACTTACTCTAGCATACTGATTTCTTTCTGCCTGTTCTATTGTGAATCCAAAACCCCTACCCCTATGTGTTCATGCTATGGTTTGAGGCATGGCAATACTGCAAGTTATTATCCATGAATCAGACTTGATCCCCTGGGATCCTAGCCTCTAATAGTGTGTGTTCTGGCAGGCTTATAGGTGTGCTAGCACTCTCCATTGCTAGGCATGCCTAAAGTCTGCCCATGCCTAAGCAATAGGCTCTTTACAATCTCCATATTCCCCTGAACCCCTTATGTGTGCTTACTTGTAGCCGTTTCCCCCTCCCTTTCCCCTTTTAGCATTTTGTTCTGCACTTGCACACTTTCTTAGTCTTTAAGTTCTGCCCCCTCCGATGAGCCCTGCCTTGGGACCCTTTGAGTTCCCTCTGAACTTGGACACTTGAGGGCTGGCCCTTCCACACTGCACTCATCCCCAATCTGATAATACATTTGGGTGTGAGCATTGCCCGGAGTCCCTTCGAGGCTCTTAGGGAACTTTGACACACTCAAATGGGAGAAAGGCTTTGGATCCTGATCTCTTGGAGTTGATTTACCTCGTATTTCGGACATGAAGTCTGAATCAGGCTCTCCTTGGTTGTACTTTTATTTATTTTCTTTCTGATGTATTTTACCTTATTTCGGGCTGTAATAACTTGTAATAAACTCTTGGGGATGGTTAGTAAAAAGGGACGGGTAACTATGTATGCAAAAAGGGTAGATACCATGCCTATAGGAATTTTGAATTCTGCATATGCACATAGAAATGATGCCTATAGGTCCTTCTGAATTCTGTATACCCATCATTCACATAGAAATCATGATCATAGGACTACTACATTCATATAGAAATCATGCTTACAGGATTATCTAAATCTGTACGTTCAATCGCACCTAGATATCATGTTCATAGGTCTTAAACAAATTTCGCACCTAGATATCATGTTCATAGGTCTTAAACAAATTTCGCACTTAGATATCATGTTCATAGGTCTTAAACAAATTCTGCATCTAGATATCATGTTCATAGGCTTAAAAATGAGTCTTCTGCATTTTATACCATGTCTGCAAAGGCTTACAATCAACAACGCCTAGAAATCATGCCTATAGGAACTCCTAATCGAATCTGAATCGCTTCATTCACGAATAGAGCTAAAATCAGTAATAATGGGTACTATCAGTTGCAGAACTTATAACCCTCATTAAAACTTGCCTCTCTTTTAAATAACCTGACTTCCCTGTTAACCAGTACGTATCTAGTTTATTTTAGACCTTGTTATTTCATTGCTTTCTGAATTAAATAGATACCATGCCTATAGGATCCTTGTCCAACACTTAGGCAAGCCTTATGGTAAAGTTATAAACTGAATCTGGTCTATTAACTACAACCAGCTAGCAGGCCTAATTTGGGCTTCTTATCTGAATTATGTAATAAATCAGTCTGCCTCAACCTGTAAGTTATTTCACGTTTAGTATTCAATCAGACCCTAAACAGTATGTGTAAGTCATGCTAATTACGTGCTTCTTTGTTTAAAGGGGGTATATTTGAGCCTTTGCTTGTTATGTGCTTTCCCCCAACTTGTTATACGTGTTTTGTATGTCGCCTTAGAATTTTTCCCCTTTGAAACCACAAATAAGCCTAACATCCCTTCCCTTTAGGATTAGTAGTCCTAATACCTCCGGGACTGATAGGATTGGGACGGGTAATAGCATGCAATAGGTAAACGAGACCATTCCGCGCTTTAATACCTTAACGGGGTGGGAAGGGTAGATATGGATATGATGACCACGCGATAATGTCACGTGTAGCCCCTCATTGAGGAGTATATTATCGGGCATTGTGTGGGGTGATCCATATTATTAATAAACCTAGGACCCCTCTCCCTTCATTCTTTATTTCTTTCTTTTCAGCATTTTAACTCTTTGTTTCTAAAATCAGCTTTTCTAATTATTCTTTCAAACCTTGTTTACTTTCAAACCTTTATGTGATGAAATCCCCTCTTATTTGAGCCCTATTTGTTTGTATGCTAATTGTACCCAAATTCACAATAATAGTCTGGCCGGGAACCACACTAGTGGATTCTGAGGGGTGCCTAACACCTTCCCCTTAGAATAATTTCAAGCCCTTACCAAATCTCTGGTTACTCAAATCAAATCTCCTTGGTGTCCTAATGCACCATGATCATTAGGTGGCGACTCTTCAAATCAAACCCAACTCCCAAAAGGAATGAGTTGTCCTCCCAAATGTCATAAACCCGATTTCGCGAGAAAAAGAGAGCGCGACAACACGTGACACTAAATTGGGCCCCTAGGAAGATGATATATTGGGCATAATAAAATGGCTCATCACTTGTATAGCCCAACCAATATTTATTGGACTTAACTAATTAATCCAATTATATTAGCCCATAACATTTATTTGGACCAAAATATATTTATTTAAGATTAAATCCGAATACCTTATGGACTAAAATCTAATAAAATTTTGTACGTCTACACTATAGATCATACAAAAACAACTTTACCCGTCCACAACTCCCCCTTCGTGATTATTAAAGTCTTGAGGGGTATAAAGTAAAAAATCTTTACAATACATAGTTTTCCTCTAAATTGGACTTTTCCATGGAACTCTTAGCTTGGACGGCAAAATCAGTAGTAACTCAAAAGGGAAGTCTATTTTGTTCCTTAATCATCAATCACTGAAAATGAAAATGAAAATGAAACAACACTTAGCATAATAAATTCACGGTTCTTGCTGTTTTTTTATCAGTGAAGGATTTTGAGAATAAATCTCATGGGTTATTTCTATTTAACTTTACTTTTCACTCTGCTCCTTCATATTTGTGATGCAGTCCAAGATTCCTATGTTTCTGCAATTGGTGACCCTGGAATGAGAAACCCAAATGCCAGATTTGCATTGGAAGCTTGGAATTTCTGCAATGAAGTTGGAAATGAAGCTCCCCTTATGGGCAGCCCCAGACTTGCTGACTGTGCTGATCTTCACTGTTCTCCTTCTCTCACAGGTTTACACTAGTTAGTTATTTACTGTTATATCATATTGCTGACCTCATAACTAAAAATGTCGACAGCCCGGTGCACAAAGCATTCTGCATTCACGCAGGGTCCGTGGACGGGCCACACCCCCTAGGATGTGATGTAGACAGTTTATCCTAATGCATACATTAATGAACCCGTGACATAAAGGTCATATGGAGATAACTTTACCGTTGCTCCAAAACTATAAGGTAGTTAATATAATTCTATTATTTTTTTTAATAACTGTGGTGTCTTAGTCAACTTGCCACATCAACTATTCATAAGGTACTTGCTACATCCTATATTGAGTAGGGCTGCTTATCGGGTGGATTGGGCGGTTATTTACTCTTAACGGTTTGGCTTATCGGTTATCGGCTTTTAGATGTATTAATCCGCTAGCCACCCGATAAGATATTTTGTTACCAATGGAGAATTTCTTATCATCTTAAATTCAGGTGATTGGATTTACACCAACGGAAACCATAAACTTCATACACAATAGAGGGATATGATAGAGTTTTTTTTTAATAATGAATGGAGTTCCTTCTTCCATCCTATCCCATTCACCGGTACTGATCATTGATACTGTAAAAGTCGTTTTCTTGCTTTTGTGCCAGCTCATGATCTAAACGAGTCGCACATACACCCTAGTACATGTTCCTCGACGCTGAGGGCACCCCCGAAGAGCGGGGGATTTCGTGACATTTCTGATTGGCTGTCTTGTATTTCTAATAAGTTGTTTAATAGTTGGCATGTTGAATCGTATACATAATATGATGGGTTGGTTTAGATTGATCCTGGGCGGATTGGTATTGGTTTAGCTCTTATTGGGCGGTTATCGGCCTAATTCAATCTATATTGAACATGACGCAATTTACCAAATTTAGCGAGGGTCCAAAATTTGCTTCGTCGTGCTTCAAATGTATGTTGATGTTGGTCAAAGAATGGGATTTCTTGCTCTTGTTTTATAACTGCTCCAATTTTCTTTAGGTGTCGCTCTAATTTCTAAACAATCCAAGACCACCTGCCGAAATGTGTGCGGACTGACGTTTTTTTTTACATGCAAACCTACAGATGTATGTGTTAAACCCAATTTAACAGCAGATTCAACTCGTTAAACTATCTCTTGTTTGTTAAGTTTTGGTACTTCCACTACACCTACTGGAGGTGGTAAGAATACGTGAAGCAATCAAGTAAATTGTGTTTGGTTTGATAGGATTGAAAGAATGCGCGAAGCAAGAAATTAAAATTTGTCTAATAGTAAATTAGTAATAGAGAATAGAGATAGAGTACTGGAAGTGGAAGAAGGGTTTTTGATTATTTAATATATATATGGATAGAAATAAATTTTATATGTATATATATATATATTCTTAACGGGTTAACGGATTATCCGTTAAGAAAATTGAATAATCTGCCCCCAAACCGATAAGCCGTTAATAAAAAAATTTCAATCCGTTCCCCGTCCGTTAAACTGTTAACCCGATACTAATAAGCCATTAAGCTTCGGTTTCGGTTCGGTTTTGAACACCCCTAATATTGAGTAATTGACCTCTGTGAGTCTTTGCTAGGATTTTTACCCTAGTCTCCCGTAGTGTTTATCCACTCATTGACTGTTAGGTCTGGGTGCTATAATTCATATTGCAGTCGAGCATCAACAAAGATTCTTCATGTTTGTGGTCCAATAAAAAGAATCAAAGTATTGCATCCTTGGCAATTTAAGTTTTTAGACGAGAGAGTTCACAAAATTGTATAATTTACCAATATCACCGAGGTAAATATGAGAATCAGAAACTCGTAAACATAGAGGGAAGCATGTATCTATAGGTATGGACTTGCATTTGGGAAATAGTATAATTTAATATTTGATATTAATATTAGTAGTTCTTTTTTTTTTTGGGTAGTGCCTAAGCTCCCTTGAAAAAAATGAGTTGAATGAAGAATCTTGATGTTGATTCATATGATATTAGAAAAGTCCTAATCTTTGTTTAGAAGATCTTACTCTGTTATCTTTGAAGTGGTGGAGAATGGTAATATGTCATGCATAAGTGTGTGAGTCTATAATTGATTGATACCTGCTAAACCATGGGAATGTGTTGGAAAGACAAATCTTGAATTCGGCATTACTCATGAACTTGTATGAGGTTGATGTTGTATTACGTCGTAATTTACTGGATTGATAGCATGCTTGATACATAAGTTGATTTCTATATAATTGATGGAATTGAGGGGTTTTTGTAGTTAACACTTGACACATAGTGTTTCTTTAATATCAAGACTACCATTTGTATGGGAGAAAAACTGACTTTACTAAATCTTGACTGTTACTAGAATACATTCCCTTTGGAACAGTAATTTGTAGCAAGATGGACCATTTAGTCCTGGGGATATCCGACTACAACATTCCCTTCTTTCTTTTCGCACTGTTTATTCTATACGAGCCATGAGGTCGAATCCAGTGCCACAAATTATGGAGGAAAAGAACTGGCCGATATTTTAATTTTTCTCTTGTTGTGGCATCTTATAGTAAAAAAATGTCTGATGCTATTATATCCAAACTTGGATGAGCATTGTACTGCAGTCTGCAGCTTTAAGTTGTCATTAAATCAGAGTTCAAGAAGCTTTAATGGTCATCTATTCATTGCTCCAAGCTATTATTAGTTGTCCTAGCTTCATTATTGCCGTCACTGTCGTTGAAAAGAAATTGAACCTGATATAGTTTCCCTTATAAACTAACCATCATTGCTACTATGTTCAAGGTTAACAGTCTAATTTTCCTTTGAAGCGTTTATCCTTCTTTTGTTCTTCCCTTTCTTTTCCCTTTTCTAAAGGTAGTTCTTTTGTTATATACAATCTGATTCTCATGGTGAAGAAAAAGCAGAAAGATTTGGGAAGAATATTGTTAGATGAACTCAATTACATGAATCATAGACTTAATTGCCTTGTGTAAATGCTAGCATAGACCAACTGTATGATCTGCCCGCTCTTACTGGGTTTGGTTTTATGGTGAGGTGACCAAGATATTCTGGGCGATCCACTTCTTCAAAAACGGAGCACTTGTAAAGTACACCATAAAGTGACAGAAGTAGACAATAGATTAGGAGTTGGAGATAAATTTCCAGATGGGAATTATAAAGCTTACACGGATCCTGATCTTTATGCTGCGGAAAAGGAGCGGTATCTTGGTTCACTTTGTGAAGGGCATGATTCTGCTGAGCCATGGTATCATTGGATGATAATGCTCAAAAACGGAAATTTTGACAAGAACACAACTCTTTGTCCTGAAAATGGTCGGAAAGTTTCTAAGATAGTGACTGGTAGAAATTTTCCATGTTTTGGTGAGGGCTGCATGAATCAGCCACTTGTATACCATAACTACTCAAGGATAGTCTACGGGAAGCATGCATCTTTGATTGGAGGTTTCTATGGAACATATGACCTTGACGCCAATTTAACTGCCGGTCTAGATGGAAAATCTTTTTTCTCAGTTTCATGGCAAAAGAATTTAAGCACAGGTAGTTGGATTGTCTCAAACAAATTGACGACATCATTCAAGTATCCATGGCTTATGTTGTATCTAAGATCAGATGCGGCAGAAGGGTTTAATGGAGGATATCACTATAGTGGCCGTGGAATTATGAGAAAGGTTTGTGAGTACAGCTTTGTTCCCTATGGAAGTTCTTATTCTATAAATGTAGGATTTTACTGATATGAAACTTGCGCACTAAGTGTATGTAGTGATTTTGTCTCACCATCACGGGATGACTCTTAAAGACTTGGGTATCAGTCTCATGCTGTGATTTTTTCTCACTTTCAGAAAGGGGAAAGAGCTGTAAGTTCATATTTAAGCAAATTCGTTTTTTCTTTTTCACTTGCAGCTTCCGGAGTCACCCAACTTCAAGGTAAAGTTGACACTTGAAGTTAGACAAGGAGGAGGCTCCAATAGCCAGTTTTATCTTCTCGACATTGGAAGCTGCTGGAAAAATAATGGAGATCCATGTGATGGAGATGTTTTAACAGATGTGACAAGATATAGTGAGATGATTATCAATCCAGCAACCACAAGTTGGTGTCGTCCTGATAACCTTGTGTCCTGTCCACCCTACCACGTTATCCCTAATGGGGAGATAATATACAGAAATGATACTTCTCGGTTCCCTTACTCTGCTTATCATCTCTATTGTGCTCCTGGAAATGCAAATTATTTAGAGAAACCATATGATATATGTGACCCATACAGCAATCCACAAGCTCAAGAATTGGTGCAAATACTGCCACATCCAGAGTGGGCTGTGCACGGTTATCCGTCAAAAAAAGGAGAGGGGTGGATTGGGGATGCTAGGAGTTGGGAGCTTGATGTAGGAGCTTTATCCAATCGGTTATACTTTTACCAGGTAATCCTAATTCTTGCATAATCTGGTTTGTGAATTTTGTGGAAAGGGGTGTTCTTTTTCCTTTTCTTTTCTTTATGGTGTTGTTGCCGAGTCCAACGCTTTCACTTAGGTTCTCTGGAATCAAACATGGATGATACATTTGGTTACTCATTTTCCTATGTTTTTGGGGCTCCAACAATTTTCTACTTTGATTTTAACTCTGTGGGAAACAAGGAATCTAAGATGCAAGCATAAAAGGTTTTCCATTGATCAAAACGGTTCTACTGTACCTTAATTTTTCAGAAACCTGTTAGCTTACTTCCTGTTTAGCATCTCAGTCTAATATAGTGAGAAAACTACAAGGGCGTGTGACAGCTGTATTGCCTGATGATAAGAAAGTATGTTGATTCAGATTTAAAATTTCTTTAAGCTTTAGAATGCATTTTAATTTTGTACTTGTGAGCTAATTAGTCAACCCTGCCTTTATTTTCGTGTTTGCTGCCCTTTATGGGGAAGTCAGTTTTGCTTATCCATTCAGTATTGCATAGATTAATTGTAGATATACAGTGCTGCGGCGTTCTGGTAGATTGTGTATTCTAGATATACAGAGAGGTGACTGATTTCTTCTAATCTTACTTACACAGGATCCAGGAACCAAACCGGCAAAGCGTGTGTGGTCTTCACTTAATGTTGGTACAGAAATATACGTTAGCAGCCAAGGAGCTACTGCTGAATGGACTGTAAGTGATTTTGATGTATTGATTCCTGAGGGTGGTAAAGGTGGTGTTTGGGCCGTTCTGTAACACCTGTTATATGCTCCTTGTTCATTGAGATTAGTTTCACTTCTAACAATTTGTTTCTTCGCTTGTTTGTATATAGACACACACATATATATATATATATATATATATATATATATATATTTTTTTTTTTTTGGTTTTCTGTTCACCATGAGTATTCTGTGTGGCAAAATAAGCAAACCTAACCTCGATGAGACATGCCACTGTTCATCTCCATTTCCCTGTAACTGGTTTCTTAACAAGGTTAAGTTTTAGTTTCTTCCTTGCTTGAAAGTTGGACCATGTTTCATTATGTTCCTATTACTGCAGCAGAAGTGTTAGCGCGAATAAGTATACCAATGTTAATTCCTACAGCCTCTGGTGACTCATTAATATGCTTTAGAGGTTTTTAATACTTGTCTCATATATGACTGCAGAACAACCAGTACTTAAACATAGATTTTCCTTTCTTTTCTTGTTTATATACTTGCAACCATGGACTTCAAGAAGCATCGGTACCTCCTTTCTGAAAGACTAAAACTGGGGAAGATGACGCCAGTGTCATTATTCTCATACTCTGGTATTGTTCTTTCCATTACAAACAAACAACAACATACCCAGTAAAATCCCACTAGTGGGGTCTGGGGAGAGTAGATCGTACGCAGACCTTACCCTACCCCGAAAAGGGTAGAGAGGCGGTATTGTTCTTTCCATTGTACCCAAAAAATCTAATACTCTGGTGTTATTAAAGCTCACTTGAAGCGCACTGAAGTTAGGTGCAACACAGCTGAGTTGCTTTGCCAATTTAGATGGTGCTTCAGTACTTGCACCAAGGTGCTAACGTGTATACCTCATTATAAAACTGTTCCGACCAAAAAATAGCTACAACTGGAAAAGTGATAACACATGTTCTTTGAAATAGTGGCTAGACTAGGAATATAGAAGGTTAATTAAGAATACCACTAATTAAACCTGAATCAGATATTTAAATTGATTTTTGAACTATATATATGATTTTTATTCATATATTTCACTTAACTGTAGTTTTGTCAGTTCATTTGTCCATATAATTGTTTTTGTGTTTATAGTTATTTCTCCTTGCATTACATGTAGTTATATTAATTCTTTTTTCATTTGCACCTTTCTTCATTTAAGTCCACTTGCGAGCTTGTGGTTAAAAAAGCGCACTTGGTGTTTTCCTAACAGTGATTTTTTCAAGTTTCAAGTCTACATTTTGATGGTCTAACAGGCACTATGTATTTTTGTTTCCTTGTTACTGTTTTTGTCATCAATTTTCTTTTATTTATCATTCAAGTATGACTCCTCTACTGAGAATTGGGATACCGAGATTTCTATGTTGTGGAACCATAACACATACTGGTGTATGGGTCGAAATCTGACCACACGTGGATCAGCACTAAAAGGAATGGCGAGGGGCCGACTAAGCCGTGGTCATATTCGTAAGACATCGTAACGACGAGTATTTCAGCCGCTGCCGGGACCGAACTATCAGAAAGCTTGTACGGCGAAGCATATGTCGTGACATTTAAGGGGAACGACCCAACGGACAATCAACATATTAAGGTATTATGGCTAAGAACCGTTGGGTAAAAGGGAATACTCATTATATAGATGGGGGGCTCTGCTTCTGAAGAGAGAGGGGGAAGAATCGGAGAAGGCTGCATGAGAAAAATAAGAGAAGTTTCGGATCTTATTGACAAATCTTTGTAATCATCTTTCTTGAATCAATAAAGATAGATCCCGCAGTTGTTAATGGCATTCCTTCTTTTCCTTCTTTGCTCTTACATTATGGAACAGTACATCAAGATAAGCATGTCATTTATGTTCCATATCTCTTTTAAATCTTAAAAGTTCATGAGCTTAACTATATCTTATTTTCTTATTCAATGTGTTTTGATCTAGAGTTAATTATCCTTGGCTAGTATTTATCCTCTATTTTCTTATTAATTAGTTTAACAAAAAGCTTAACACTTTTTGGTCAAACAATTTGGCGCCGTCTGTGGGGATTTTCTAGCCAAAATCTTAGTTCCCTCTAGATCTAAAGCTAACCAGAGTTTCACTTCCCGGTTGTCGTAGCCTCACCCTCTTAGTATAAATACCAACTTGAGAAAGTTGCAGGCAAGCTTTTGGAAATAACCAAACCAATCAAGGTCAGGTCTCTACATGAAATCGAAATTATGTCTGATATCTATACAAAACCCACGCCTCGCCTGTAGCGATGGGTTTGGCACGTCGTGTGAGTACTCAAAGTGGGATTATGGCCACTACTCACTTAGCACATCTGAAACCCTATTTTCCGTATTAACGTTATACTTTCACCTCTTAGGAAGGGACAATAGCCTACTGTATGATTCTTTGAAATAACCAGCTTATCCTGCTTTATTTTTTGTACCCGTACGCACGGTGTAATTTATGTACAGAGTATAACACGTTTCCCTTATTGTTTGCGCAAATCAGACCGGGACTCGGGCTCGAGATCCCAACGGGCAAGGTAAGTTCATCCCATAAGAAGCCTAGACGCGACTAACGGCGAAGCCGAACACGGGGCTGCCAGATCTGAAACCGCCATTTGAGTACGGGATGAAACGGGTCGCCCTACAGCGCCCTCCCCCCTCGCCGACTTACCAGGTCAAGGTAACAGGCAATTTCTTTTAGGTTTAACTTGTCATTTTTTCTTTTTTGGATTGGGATAGGAACACGAGCATTCTCACAGGTGCGCGAACAAGGAACAAACACCACTAAACGCACCAAGCAAAACCCTCCGCGCCATACCATATTGCGAATAACAGAAACGGCTCAGAACAGGCCAACATTATTAAGAAACAATCTCCATAACCTGGGACTGAGTAATAAGCCCATTGTACGCATAGCCTCTCCAACACAGGCAGAACATGAACTCGAAAAGCTCGCACGTATACTCACCATGACAATCCTACGCCAATTCGGCCGACTAACTATTACAAATCACGTCCGAACGTCGTTTGAAGTGATGGCCCCAGGGTGCCCAGTATCCCAAGCAATAAGTTCCTCGCTCGTCCCGTCAATGACCTCTCCAGGCCGAGCAACGAAGGGACCAGATAAACTGGGACTCCACCGTCGCATACGAACCATACAACACAGTACTCTCCAATGAAAGTAAAATTTGAGTTCTCTCAAACTCACAACGGGATACAATTCGACCTCGCTCGAATTTACACCCTTACGGCCCCCGGCCATCGCCAAGTGAAAGTGAAATTCGACCTCGTTCGAATTCATAACGGGCCACAATTCGACCTCGCTCGAATTTACACCCTTACGGCCCCTGGCCATCGCCAAGCAGAAGTAATGTACGAGTTTACAAGTCAAAATTGACTTCGCACAAGTTGGCAAGTCAGACTTCAACCTCGCTCGAATTTATAAGTCAAAACTGACTTCGCCCAAGTTGGCAAATGAGACTTCGACCTCGCTCAAATTTATAAGTCAAAACTGACCTCGCCCAAGCTGGCAAGCCTGACTTCGATCTCGCTCGAATCAAGCGAAATGAAACCGCATTCGAGTTCCCAATTAAAAATCAAGGACTCATCGCGGGTGTCGCGCCCCGTTTTTCCTTGCGGAATCCGGGATTCGACATATTGGGACAACTCTTTTCCTTTTGGAATTGGGTAAGAGATTTGAAGAGTCTCTACCTAACGGATTAAGGTGCGTTAGGGCACCTAGAACAATTAACTCGTGAAACCAGTTTACATTACCAGAGATTGGGTAAGGGCTCAAAATTACCTCGAGAGGAAGGTATTAAGCACCCCTCGAGGTCCACAACGGTGGGTCCCAACCAAACTCAATTAAGCGAATTAGTCTTTAAAGGAAAGTTAAGCAATTTAAAACAAATAGACAATTACTTCAAAACAAGAATTAAAGGGGTCCTACGTTTTTTAGCCTATAGGATCATTTTCATGCAATACTTGGTAACTTTCCCCAAATTGGGGTGTTACGCGTAGCATTAGCGCACAGGTTATCATCTCCTTTACTACCCCGTTACTATCTTTTAGTTGTTACCTAAGCGTTCTAATAGCTTCTAATGCGTACCTTATGCGTGCACTACCCGTACCTTACCTATAGTCCTGGAGGTGTTTAGGACTTCTATTTTGTATAGATCTAGACTCACCTACGTTGCTTAAAAATGAGAAAACTAAGCGACAAACAAAATTCAGATAGGACTATCATGTAAGGAGCAAATAAAGGGGCTCATGTTAACCTCCACAAATAGCCAACCAATGCACGCAATTCAAACAAACAAAGTTTTATAGTTTAGGATCCTATAGGCAGGATATCTAGATGAGCATGAACAGAATACATAACAGCTCTATTAAAGCGGGCAACAGTATCTATCAGTTTGCCTACTGATTTTTGTTCATATTCTGAATCTGGACGTGTTTTCAAACAGCAGGAGATCACAATTTTAGTCCCAGACTTCTTTAAGTACCCTATCAGTTTTCTTAAGTGAGGACCAGAGCAGAATCCTAAAACTGTTAATTAACGACTACAGTTTATAAACCACTGATTGATTTTGACAGGCAGATTTTATCTTTTTAGATCCTATAGGCATGCTTTCTAAGTGCTGAAACTCATTATAAGCATTATTTCCTATAGACACGATATTTAAACACAGAAACTGATATTTTACACTTACTTCCTATAGGCCTGATGTCTAAGTGTCAAGACTGATTTTATATGTATTTCCTATAGGCATGATATCTAAGTGTTGAAACTGTTTTTACGCTTATTTCCTATAGGCGTGATATCTAAGCGGTATAGGCATTAACCAGTTTCCAAGCGAGTTCAATAAAGAATATCCTAGGGAGATGATCTCTAATGCACACATGCGGGTTTGAAAAATATGGTTCTTGATGCAGAATTGATAAAACTGACTAGAAATAGGATTTCTAGGATGCAAAGTGAAAATTCAGGATTACAAATAACGAGATAAGTCCTATAGGCATGGTTTCTAATGGCATAAAGAATCACAACAACCTATAGGCATGATTTCTACCCGAACTCAACAAAAATATATAAACATCCCTCCCCAGTTTTTACAAATAACCCCATATCTGTTTTTACAAAGATTATTACATTATTACAGACCATTATGAATAAATTACACAATGAAAAAATCATTATACTATAGGGACCCTTGGCAGGCCCAATGTCAAACTGGAAGCCAGGCCTTCAAGCAAGTCTGATGTCCACAGGTAGTTCATAACACACAAATGGGCTTCGGGTGTGTCAAAGTTCCCAAGGGCCTCAGGGACCCCGGGCAATGCTCACACCAGAACCTTTTCAAAGAAATAGTTTTGTAAAGAGTTTGGAAGGCCAGCCCCAGTGTGTTAGAGTTCGGAGGAGACTCATGGACCCCAGGCAGTGCTCACACTAGGGGTGGTAGGACCCTAGATAACTAAGAGTAGAAGTTTGAAAATAGTGTATAAGGGTAGGGGACAGTTTCAGAAAGAAAGCAGTTTGATTTTTCAGAAGTGAACAGAAGCAGAACAGAACCATATTCCCGCAGATTGGTTCAGATATAGATACAAATTATTAAACAATCACAACAAAATAGGAACACTTGAATCATAGACGGAACTGACCACACACATTCATAATCCCTAAAAAACTTCTTAATAGGGACCAGGTAATCAAAACAAAGTTCACATTGCTGGAGTTAACTCGATTTACTGG